CACTGTAGAATGGAAGAACATATATATAATATGAAATCGTATGGCATAGAGCAACAGAAAACCACACAGCAGCACAGCACTTAATACAATTTAATCTTGTGTGTGTGTGTGTGTGTGTGTGTGGATTATGTGTATATTTCTTTATGGGAACCAAATGGGCCCCACAAATTTAATAAAAACCGTTTTTTGACATTGTGGGGACCATTTTTCAGGTCCTCACAAAGATCTGTGAATGCAATCAAAAAAGTAAAATAACATTAATAATATTTTGTTTAGTTACTTATGGTTCCAGTTAAGGCTGGGTAGGAGTTAAGGTTGTCATGTTGTGATTAGAGTGTTCACCATAGAAATGAATGGAGAGTCCCCACAAAGACATAATTACAAACCTGTGTGTGTGTGTGTGTGTGTGTGTGTGTGTGTGGTGGGGGGCATATATGTTATATGATTACAGTAATCCTGGATTACATTTATTGACCTTGTAATATGTTATAGGAATATCAACAATAACAATGATGTTATAACTAAAACTGTGTGTGTGTGTACTTATGAATGACAATACTTATGAATGCAAGCATGAACCAAGGTTTATTACAAGCAAATAAATTAAGAATGGCTATCTCTATAACTTTAAAAACTTTTTAAAATTAAACTCATTAACTGTGTTACACTTAACAGTGTATGTTAAACATTTGTTTAAGCAAGCTTGAAGATAAATTCTGTCTCTTCATCAAATACAACTAAATTCACAAATAACTCACCCAGTACATATGCATTCTAACCTTGGCAGTAGTCAATAGTAAGGCTGTGTGAAATCACTGTCAATAGGAAAGCAGAGAATCATTAAAAAGGCCTATTGTGAGAGGGTTTTCACCACCAGGCAAAATGCAGTATAAGACTTGGCGGAGAAAGACACAAAACACAAATGTTTTGTACTTTTAAAAACAGCATGTAGAGCATACATCAGGAACCTGGAACTAGTGAGGTGGCCTACTGAGATAATAGTTCAGAAGAGTAATAAATAGGCCTATTGGCTATACTGGTAGTTATATGTTATGGAGTTCAGTATGCTCGTATTATACTTAATATAGGCCCGATTAGAATTCCAAAATAAATAAATAAATACCTCTAAAATTTCAGTTGTTTATTTGGGGCGGGTGGTCGACGTACGACATTTATTTATTTTTTATGTCCTCAGTAGCCAAAGTGGACTAACAACCATTTAAATGTTAGGAAAACATGTGGTATGGTGGCTGAAGAGCTGGGCGCTGTGGGTTTGCCGCTTCGCAAATCTGACAATACGATTGTCCTGCTGCAGTACCGCGCTGTTGCAGCATATTTTGTGAGAAGCAGACGTGTCTTTAATTGTCCACGATGGCCTTACAGTTTCATGCGATTATAATGTTGGCCACCGGTACAAAAATGCAGAAAATGTTTGCCGTGGGATCTGATTCATAAAATATTAAGCATTTAGAAAAACGCCAGTTTTGAACGCGATACGTGTCGCTTGCCTATGACTACATTAGTTCTTTAAGAGTCGGAACTTCTGTGCAGTCTTTTTGCAGTATGAGGTTATGCTGCTGTGACAGAATTATTGGCCATGGCTCTCCGCATACATTAAATTTCCAGAATGAAACTGTAACTCTGCCATGTTGAAACTATTCAGCGGGGACCCATTCTTAATAATAGAAATTACTCTAATAAATCTAATATCCTCAAGGACAAAACATAGGCCTATAAGCTTTGACTAAAAAACCGTTGAACCATTTAATCTGATGAAATATCAGAATACATGAAAAACATTAATGGTAGCTATTTTTGTAATACGATTCCGACTCCGATTTAACGGACTTACACAACTCGTGTAAGACCTAAACTGTATCAGGGCGCGTTTCAGTATAAAACGTCTCAGTTATAACTGGACAAAGCAGAAAATACAAATCTAGAAAACACCTAATAATAAATAAATATATATCCAATAAAGAGATTTTAAATTCCGAATCACTGTTGGCTGAAATAAAATAGCCTATTGAAACATCAATTTCAAATGATAAGCGTTAAAGTAAAAGACCCCATACCATATATGTGTACAACGAGAACATTCTGGCAAGGTCGCTAGTCACCTTCCCGAAGGCATTAAATTGACAACACGTTGAATTTCGTGCTTTCTTTTAAAACAAGCGCTTCCTCTCCGGAATTTCTCTGTGAAAACGCCTCACCAAAACCTGGCCATCAGAAGAGGACAGTAGACCTCCCCTCCCGAACAAGGCACTTAGTCTTACATCTAAATCTGAAAATAATACCTCCAATATTTATGCACGTGGTCCTGTCACGACCTCGTCTACTGGACTGGATTAGCTGAATTTCTGAAATGTTTTCTTTTCTTCTGCGTAGCTGAAACATCTCTGTTATTGCTAAAGTTTAAATCGGTCTAATGAAGCCAGACACCGTGGCGAATGGCACCCATGCTATGCTTCTGTCCCATCCCATTAATGAATTAATTTGTTTGTTTATTTGTTTATCTGTTAGTATATGAATGTATTATTCATTAATTTATTTGCTAGTTTGTTTATTTATTTATTTGTGCGCTCATTTCTCTATACATTACATCACATGTGGACGCTGATGTGAAATGCAGCATAACCTGCTTAATAATTTTGCTGCTTATAAGTTTATTTAATAAGTACCTAAACATATAGTCTACCTATCAATAAATCAAGTTATTGTTTGCTACAAACATGAAGCCCGGGATAAATAAAGGCTATCTTTATGTCTGGTGACGATGTATTAATAAAAATCAGTTAACGTACCGCCGGGCACAAAACATCTTTATTTAGTCTTAACGTGTAGACTCTTCTGGGAACATGTTATTATGGTAACTGTAAACAAACGTAAACAAAATTAAATGGTCACTTTGTGCCTCGGGTGCATTATCTGGGCATTTAGCAGCGAGGAAAGCTATTTCCTTTGCCATTCGAAGTAAACCACTCTAAATTGGCCATGAAGTCTGTTGCAGTTTGGGAAAACGTTTGTGATATTTCATGTGTCTTTTTCATCTCGCCATTCAGTCAAGTTTGTGTTTCTACTATTCAATCGATAAAGTAGGTTTATATGCAGGGTACAGCAATTTCAACGTGACACCAAAGTATTCCCTTGAACTGTGCATGAATTTGCTGGCTTTGTACTGTTAATGACTATTCATTATGAGTGTCAAGATTAGTTTACATGTTCATTAAACTCGGCCGTATACAGAATCAAACATTTTCTAAAGCAAATCTTATCTTTGAAATGAGCACAATGAAATGCACTTCAAGACATTATCCGATACCAAAGAGATATTCATCTGTTAACTCTGGTAAAGCAAATGGATAATTTCGCTGATAAAATCTTGGGAATTTCTGCCTGTAAACTGAAGCAAATCATTTGTGCGCGGCAGGCACCCGTGGAGTCCCGACGGGAAAACGGTGGAATTTTCCCCTTGTTTATCATATATCTAACTATTACAGATGTCAAGCGTGCAAGTGATATATTTTGTAAAACAACAGGGATTTAATCTGAAGACAAGTACAGATGTTGCATTCGCAATGCATTTTTGCGGTCATATAACAATGTTCGAGGATGCACGTATAGCGTTTAATTCTAAGAGAACTTAGCCGGAAAGTGCGAGCATATGGCGATCATATGTTGATTACAGGTAGGGTTGTGCACACAGGTTCAAAATATTAGGGATTATAGGCCTACTATACATACAATTCCCAGAATGGTCAATTATCAAAACATTATACATATGAATGCATTATAGGCTACACAGCGCATATTTATCAGAGGCATGCCTACATCCAGTTACAGGAGTAAAACAAACACCGTCTTATAATGTATATGTATATGCGATTTAAAATGAAGTTTATACAAACTCTGCATTCCACGAAAAGTTGGGTAAGCGGTTTGATGGATGGATATATGAAAATTATACAGTGGGACGGTCAACAAAGAAACAATAAACAGGCTAGTAATTGCAGAAATTAACGTAACCATCCCCTCTATGGTCAATACAATTACTGTGTGTATGCAATTAATATCTTTTTGTAGTTTCTTTGACTCTGATGGGAAACTATGATTTTCCGCAAAACTTCCAATTTTTCAGATTTAAAAAACCAAGCGTTTGTTGTGGGGTACTTTCAACATAAAAAAAAGGTTTTTTTTTTTTTGTGGGAGGTGACCGAAGAAAGCAGACGCGTCTGTTTTGCCCGAAGCCAAGGAAATTCTTCCCCCTTTTTTCTCCACCAAAGTCTGAAAGTTGCCCCTAGCGTGCATCGCGCATTTTTCTGGATGTGTGATCCACGTGTAAGAGTCGGATCAAAGGTGGGAACTGAACGATTATATTATAAATGAACATTAACATGTTTTATAACCGTGACATGAAATATGTGACGTGTTTTTAACTGTTATTTCTTTAAAAGTCAAGCAGAATTCCTCGTACAATATCTTGGTATAGCAGGAATCATTTAAAATGCTGTTAAACTCCAACTCTCTGCGTGTATGTTTTTACCTCAAGTAGCAGATTTTACATTGAAAGTAATAAATACTCTCTCTCTCTCTCTCTCTCTCTATATATATATATATATATATATATATATATATATATAGATATAAACATATTGACAATTGTTATTGTTATTGGACTGGCTAAAAAGTACGAGATCTTGTTGCTTTCGTGCACATTCCAATTCATGTTTATTAAACGTGTTTATTTTTTAATTGCCCGATTAATGTTCTTTTTTATACACATTCTCACTTATACGTTTTTGCTACGCCACCCCTCCCGAAGTTTCATTTTGAATTTCTTATCTGGTCTTGTACATTTATCCTATCTCATGTCTGCTTGTGTTTTGTTAAGTTGTTGGACCGTTGACTCTTTACACTGCGTGTTTGTTTTCCACATGTTTTCCACAACTTCTCGATAACGGCTTGTTCATACAAATAAATTTCAAATAATAATTTACCTTGTAACGAGGTGTTTATGGTCAACCTTCGTGATCAACTTGCCGCTCTGTCCATTCACGTTTTTAACGTTGGCTTGCTGTGGCAGTAAAGTCCTCTCAACTGAATTATGGTTTCTCAGTTAACTTCCGTGGCACCTGCTCTCACTGATTGACCATAACTGTTTATAGGTCACGTAAAACTACACAATAAAGAAGCTTTCTCTAAGTGTTACTGTGTCCTGGCGTAGTGTTTACACTCTTTCACCGGTGCCAGGCTAAGAGCGCAACAATATGACGCTTCATCTGTTTATCAACATTCGCCTAGAGGGAAATACGGTACGTTTGGGGGTTATGCAATCAATGCTTCGTTTGAATATTTAAGTTGTTTCTTATTGCCATGCGCTTTCTGGTGTATTAGAAACATGTTTTTGTCCATATTGTATGGTTTTGTTGTTTGTTGAAAGATATTCGGCCAAATAAAATAACTCATGAAATACACGAATTGAGGCAGATATATTAACCCAAACACTTCATAAATATTCTTTAATTAAATATATTTTGGATTCAGACATATATCTGTCGATATTTATCGAAGCATATAACTCGTTTAATTATTGGTACCGTAAACTGACAATGGCTGCAGATATACCGAACAGCTCCAAACAGTTTTAATATCTATACAGAAACTCCCACAAAAGGCTCAACCTTTACGACAATTTACGAATAGCAACAGGCACCTGGACTTAATCATTTGAGCAGCCAGTGGATTATAAGGCAGTCGATCAGATATATATATATATATATAAGGTGTACAAAGACCCTTAGAAAAATGCACGTGAGCAAATGTGGTTCTATCACAGAGCAGGACGTCATCAGAGATTGACTGCATAATACAGATTTAGAATCCATATTATGGGCTGCTTGAGCTTTGTGGAGTATCCCACAGCCGGGATGTATCCCTCCCCGGGTTGTACCCTACCCCCCCCCCAAAAAAAAAGCACAAATAAGGCTCTAATACACCACCATCGCTGTATGTTGCAGGTGATCATTCATTCATCCATAATATTCCTGATTTTTTTTACTAAACAACCAACACGTCATAGTTTGCCTCCTACTTTCTGTTCAATATAAATTCCTATTATTAGTATATCACACTTTTTGACTGTGTCAGTCTCTATCTGCCCCATAACATAAACGATGCCAGCATCACTCTGCATCTAGTGGATGACAAAAATCCTCTGCAAAACTGTACAGAGAAAGTAAATGTTAGATATCAGTAAATAGTGATAAAGGAGAAAAAGTTAAGCAAAGTTTGTTTGTTGAATATATTTTATATTGCACGTTGCAGATTGGCTATTATATGTGACAGATGGGGGTAGGGGGGCAAGGTCAAAGTTTTTGCAGACCAAAGAAAATGCAGGAGCATTGTGAAAGGTAAAGACAATACATTAATTGGTAGAGTAAATGTAGTTGATCTAGGCCAAGTGAATGCTCCCCTATGTCACTGTAATATGAGGTTCAGCACAAGCGAGCCTTGGTTACAGGAATCTTTTACAGGGAAAGACAAACTGATAAAAAAAAAGCTAGTTTCAATTAAGCGACATATGCACCCATCGTTGCCCAGTATGACTTGCATTGTACTAACACTGGAATAAACTATACTGCTATTATTATTACTTTTTGTATGCTGACAAATTTAAAATTTTGAGTTTTGCGTTTACTTTTGATATAAAATAAAAATACTGCACGGATATTTGGACAGAAAAATATAAAAATTCTAAGTTTTTGTTCATTTCCATCAAACCCACTGTACGTTGAAAAAAATGTAAAAGAAAATGTATAGTAGTATCAAGCAATGTTTCCTGTACTTTAGTGAGAGTTAACGTAAAAATTGCTGCTTGGAGTAAGCACACTTGATATTATTTGTATATATAAATATAGACCATCGATTATTTTATTGTATTTTTTAACGTTTTAAAACCTAAAAGTGATTCAAGATTTATATTGAGTATTTACGGTAGCAATATTTGTAAAAGTGTCACACTTATTAATACAAAAAGTGTTACCTATATTAACTTTTTTTTCTGGAAATCACTTAAGTTTGGTGTTCTACAGTCGAGTAAACAGCTCAGAGGCGCGTCGCGCAGAAACTGAAGGTTACCCGAGATGTCCTTCACTACGGGAATACGGAAACGCCAGGTTGACCAGTCAGAAAACAAATATTTCCAATATCCACTTTCCGACTGGACGGCATAACAAGATGGTGAATGGAAAGCGCTCCACTTCAATGCTTTTAAGCGGAGGAACTGGCTTTTATCTGAGAAAAGTAAATAACTGCAACCTAAAATCAAGCGGTTGTGCGTTACGATCACGAACTGAACGAATTAGTCGCACGAAGACGCGGACGCCTATTTACCGGAATGAGCTGTAACAATGTGCACTGCCGGCTCGCAAACAGATGCAAAGGAAGTGCCGGTGACAAGCCCCAAGAAAAATAGCTTGTTAAAACATCAAACCGCGCCTCCTAAATTAAAGATAATCAACAATTAGCCAAAATTCTCGCATCCCACCGTTTCAGATGTGCTTGTAACTGGGCAAGCCAAATCGCATCACGATCGGATAATTACAATGTCATGCGAACAGTACATGCATAGGTTTTGTAATGCCAACTGGTACTTCAAGCATTGAAAAACGTATATTATAGCTTTATATTATAGCTTAGATTATAGCTTTTCAATGAAAAAGAGGGCAGTACGCCTTTACATAGAACATTATTGGCGTCACGTTGTCCGTACATCTTACTCTCCAAGTAACTTTATCTTGAGAAATAAATAATTGCTTTAAAAATTCGTTAACAGCGCACAAAATATATTTTATATAATCTAGCCTTTCTTGTTGAACATTTACAGACAAATTAATCCATACGGACCTTAAGACAAGACAGCGTTAACAAATATAAGTAATACTGACGGTAGCATCAGTAGTGTATTACATGACGAGGGCTAACGCTGTTAGGCAAAGAATATAGTATTAATTAAATGAATAACGTTTTAAAGAATTTATCCTGTTGTAAGAGGAGTTTATACTTTAACTGCAAAAGTGGCGTTTGTCTTAAATGTTAGAACAGCAAACTTTAATACCTACTTTAGTAAACCAGGGACTTGTAACGTCACACGAGTAACGTGATATTCAGCTAACAAGAATTGTCATGGGTGTTTCGACTGAGAGGCTTGAAAAATAACCAGACCAGAAAAAATTCTTCAAACATCCAAAAGGACAGGTTTTCCTAAATAATATTTCAAACAATGGTATAGGAACAATATTTTTCTTCCTGATTTCCAATGGCTTCCTTGCAGCACAGGCAAGAATTATTTGTTGTCTGTATTGCCTGAGCAGTAAATTGAATGAAGACAGGTTTATTAGTCTAAGGCAGTGGTTTCATAAAAAATACAAAAGAGTGAAAAAAAAACAAAATATGAAAAATTAACTGCTAAAAGAATGATCTTTGCAAACCAAAATCTTGCACCAAAACTCAGAAGGGTTGTTTTCTTTTGTGGGTATAATGGGACTGACTAATTATTCATTTATTATTTTGCAAAATTAGTGGCTCTTTAAAAAGTCCTGAAAGATTCATTAATTTACATAACGGTGAAACTGACATGAGCGACAAAGATGTTAAAGATCAATAAACAAAGGATATATGTAAAATATCTGGATTTTAGTCTATAGCTAGACGTGCCACATAAAACAGCATATGACTAAATACGTTAGATATTATTTATAAGATATTTGAACTTTTTACAGTTTTACTTGACATGGCTGATACTAAAAGGACAAAACACAAAAAGTTGGATAACAAAAGTTATGCACTGAAAACAGGGCTACAAGGCCATCATTTTTTTTCTGATTAAACACACGTAATTTTATTATGGTAATCTAGTGATGCAGTGCCAAGTGGTTTGTAAAACTTAGTTCGTTACACATAGTTAAGACATAGTTCGTTACACCTTTAACAATGTAACTTCTCGTATCATATTCCACAATGAACAAATGTTTCTCTGGTTGCTGTGCTAAAATTATTCTGATTTGTCTCCATTTGTCTGGCTCGTTTCATGTAAGGCAATATAAAATAAAAAATTCACTATCATCATCATCATCATCATCATCATCATCGATAGTCTTGTTCTACTTATAATAATAATAATAATAATAATAATAATAATAATAATAATAATAATAATAATAATGTAGCAGTAGTAATATTCATAGAAGTAGTAGCAGTGGCAGTCGTACTGTTACTGATTTAGCTAAACAAAGGTCATTCAACTTGTGCTTCAGAAAATGGAAGTTGAGTCAGCGCTAGAACTTCTGCTGTATGTATTGTGTTATAGGTTTCAAATCAGCAGGTTGTCAGCGGGCGTTCAGGGGGACTTTGTGTGACCTCAGTATGGAATTATCCTTAGTCTGGACTTTACCTGTGGCATGTGGGCCATCGGGGTGCCCTGGCTACATACCAGCGTGGGCAGTGTGAGAAGTTGCACTGCAGATGGCAGCCTGACACCCTGCATGGATTAAGTGCATTAGAGTCACGTAAAACAGGACTGTTTCTTAAAGCCATGTCATGGTTGCTGGGGGTAATAGTGATTCCCCAGGAACTGGCCCATGTGGAAATAATATGGATTATTTTCTCTATCACATTACTGGCAAAGTAAGAAGTGCCCAGCTTACTCCACCCTCAATATGATGTGTCCCCACCTTCCTTTATATAACATTGATATTACCCTTATTTAAGCTCAGTTATGCACAGAAATTATTCTTTCTAACTTTCCTAGGTTGTTGTCATAATAATGAAATAAAATGGTGAAAAATCTGCTATTGATTTTGATAAGCTGTATCTGAAAGAGTTCATGGGACTCTCTCAAATCTCTCAGGTCTGACATTTTCAGCTGTAGACAAGTGCTTAAACAAATATTAAATTAGCATTATTTTAGGAGAATGCAGACATTACTCTTAGTGTTTCAGAGGACAAAGCATTTTGTTTGTATGACTTTATAATGTATAGTGTAGCCATCCTGCAAATGTTTAGACAAAATATTTATGGTCTATATTTTTAAAACATATAAATTCTTTTTTATCCATAGTAGACTTTGTTGTACTAATACAAATATGATGCAACTTTCATTTTTTACATGAGTTGTTTGTTATTATCTTTAATAGAAAGACTTATGGAATATGGTTTTAAACTATTTCCCCATTT